CGTGGCCCCATAGGGAGCTCCACCGAAGGCCCCAGTGGGGGTGTCCACATGCGGTTCCCCCACCCAGGGCAGCGTTTCGTGGCCCCATAGGGAGCTCCACCGAAGGCCCCAGTGGGGGTGTCCACATGCGGTTCCCCCACCCAGGGCAGCGTTTCGTGGCCCCATAGGGAGCTCCACCGAAGGCCCCAGTGGGGGTGTCCGCATGCGGTTCCCCCACCCAGGGCAGCGTTTCGTAGCCCCATAGGGAGCTCCACCGAAGGCCCCAGTGGGGGTGTTCGCATGCGGTTCCCCCACCCAGGGCAGCGTTTCGTGGCCCCATAGGGAGCTCCACCGAAGGCCCCAGTGGGGGTGTCCGCATGCGGTTCCCCCACCCAGGGCAGCGTTTCGTGGCCCCATAGGGAGCTCCACCGAAGGCCCCAGTGGGGGTGTTCGCATGCGGTTCCCCCACCCAGGGCAGCGTTTCGTGGCCCCATAGGGAGCTCCACCGAAGGCCCCAGTGGGGGTGTTCGCATGCGGTTCCCCCACCCAGGGCAGCGTTTCGTGGCCCCATAGGGAGCTCCACCGAAGGCCCCAGTGGGGGTGTTCGCATGCGGTTCCCCCACCCAGGGCAGCGTTTCGTGGCCCCATAGGGAGCTCCACCGAAGGCCCCAGTGGGGGTGTCCACATGCGGTTCCCCCACCCAGGGCAGCGTTTCGTGGCCCCATAGGGAGCTCCACCGAAGGCCCCAGTGGGGGTGTCCACATGCGGTTCCCCCACCCAGGGCAGCGTTTCGTGGCCCCATAGGGAGCTCCACCGAAGGCCCCAGTGGGGGTGTCCACATGCGGTTCCCCCACCCAGGGCAGCGTTTCGTGGCCCCATAGGGAGCTCCACCGAAGGCCCCAGTGGGGGTGTCCACATGCGGTTCCCCCACCCAGGGCAGCGTTTCGTAGGCCCCATAGGGAGCTCCACCGAAGGCCCCAGTGGGGGTGTCCACATGCGGTTCCCCCACCCAGGGCAGCGTTTCGTGGCCCCATAGGGAGCTCCACCGAAGGCCCCAGTGGGGGTGTCCACATGCGGTTCCCCCACCCAGGGCAGCGTTTCGTAGCCCCATAGGGAGCTCCACCGAAGGCCCCAGTGGGGGTGTTCGCATGCGGTTCCCCCACCCAGGGCAGCGTTTCGTGGCCCCATAGGGAGCTCCACCGAAGGCCCCAGTGGGGGTGTTCGCATGCGGTTCCCCCACCCAGGGCAGCGTTTCGTGGCCCCATAGGGAGCTCCACCGAAGGCCCCAGTGGGGGTGTTCGCATGCGGTTCCCCCACCCAGGGCAGCGTTTCGTAGCCCCATAGGGAGCTCCACCGAAGGCCCCAGTGGGGGTGTTCGCATGCGGTTCCCCCACCCAGGGCAGCGTTTCGTGGCCCCATAGGGAGCTCCACCGAAGGCCCCAGTGGGGGTGTTCGCATGCGGTTCCCCCACCCAGGGCAGCGTTTCGTGGCCCCATAGGGAGCTCCACCGAAGGCCCCAGTGGGGGTGTTCGCATGCGGTTCCCCCACCCAGGGCAGCGTTTCGTGGCCCCATAGGGAGCTCCACCGAAGGCCCCAGTGGGGGTGTTCGCATGCGGTTCCCCCACCCAGGGCAGCGTTTCGTAGCCCCATAGGGAGCTCCACCGAAGGCCCCAGTGGGGGTGTTCGCATGCGGTTCCCCCACCCAGGGCAGCGTTTCGTAGGCCCCATAGGGAGCTCCACCGAAGGCCCCAGTGGGGGTGTTCGCATGCGGTTCCCCCACCCAGGGCAGCGTTTCGTGGCCCCATAGGGAGCTCCACCGAAGGCCCCAGTGGGGTTCGCATGCGGTTCCCCCACCCAGGGCAGCGTTTCGTGGCCCCATAGGGAGCTCCACCGAAGGCCCCAGTGGGGGTGTTCGCATGCGGTTCCCCCACCCAGGGCAGCGTTTCGTAGCCCCATAGGGAGCTCCACCGAAGGCCCCAGTGGGGGTGTTCGCATGCGGTTCCCCCACCCAGGGCAGCGTTTCGTGGCCCCATAGGGAGCTCCACCGAAGGCCCCAGTGGCTGCTCTCGCATGCGGTTCCCCCACCCAGGGCAGCGCTTCGTGGCCCCATAGGGAGCTCCACCGAAGGCCCCAGTGGCTGCTCGCATGCGGTTCCCCCACCCAGCGCTTCGTGGCGTTCACGTGCGCATGCGGTTCCCCCACCCAGGGCAGCGTTTCGTGGCCCCATAGGGAGCTCCACCGAAGGCCCCAGTGGCGCAGTTCGCATGCGGTTCCCCCACCCAGGGCAGCGTTTCGTAGCCCCATAGGGAGCTCCACCGAAGGCCCGCCCCGGTGGCGCAGTCCGCATGCGGTTCCCCCTATCCAAGGCAGCGCTTCGTGGCCCCATATGGAGCCCCACCGAAAGCGGCACCCACAACGCGTTACCAACAATTGCTTATGGTTGGGTCTTTCGCCAGGATAATTTGGAGGCCTCTTGGGGCTTCTTGGGGCGCTCTTTGGGCCCTGTTGGGAGCCTCTTGAGAGCCCTGGAGGGCCTCATGGGGCCATCTTGGAGGCGGCCGGTCCAAAGAAGGGGGGGGGTACTCGATTTGCGTCACCCCTTTGGGGACCACGATCCTCGTGAGGAGCAATGGCCGAAAAGGAGCCTCCGACACGTCGCGGTCCCTCCCCAAAAACCTCAGGGAGGGAAGGGGGAGGGCTCCCCTCTCCGAGGGAAGAGGGGTTGTGGAAGAGGAAATAGATCCTCGTTAGACCACCTGTCGCCCAAAGGGCTGGTGGGATTTGGGTTGCTAAGTCACGCTGGCGGTGCGGGAAGGTGGAAGGCAGGCGGCGATAATTCTTGCTGTAGTCCAAGTCTACGACCCTGGGGCCGCATATAGCAATATCTTGTCTTATCTGACCCACATGAGTTTACCTCTACCGCGGTTGCTAACAATGTTTGTTTTATTTTCGATTGTCCAGAGGGGTGGTGGTGGGCACGTTGCGGAATACGGGATCGAAAACGGACGCTGGCGGTGAGGGGAGAAATGCGATATCTTTTGTCGTGATCGACGCCCCAGGGACGCAGGCAACAACGCGAGTTTCTCATCAGGGATTGCAGATCGAAACCGCAGGGGGGAGGTGGGCAGGCAAGCGCAAAGGGAAAATAATAAGCACATTGCCAGGCGTTGCTTTGCGGTGTATTGTTAGATGGCGGCTTATGTGGTTCAAATCTTGTCTCAGGGCTGTCTCAGGGATTTGGACTGTCGGCGAGGGGTCTTGCCTGAGGCCGTCTTGAGGCTTCTCTTGGGCTGTATTATTCATCTTACTCCCACCGTCCCACCCCCCGGCGGAATCATTGGATTAATTGATCTGTCGTGGCGCTAACGATCTAAAGATATCGTTTGGCGGTGCCGATCCCTCAGGAATTAACTCATCATTTAGGGCGCTACGGGTAATGGGGGAGCATGTCTAATAGGGTGCTACGGTTGCGCTGAGTGGGTTTTGGCCTGGGCAGAGATGTTTTTTTGTCGGTCAGAGAGCTAGGGGTGGATCATCGCCTGCCTCAATATTGACCATGGCCGACGGCTGCAGCCGCGATCCGATCTCGTGCAGAAGCCCGGGTCGCGCACAGCACGTCGTTGTGCACCGGATCTGTTTTCGATGGCCCCGGGCTTCGAACATGGCCCCGAGGGCTGAAATTTGTGAGCGCCCTCCGCACAATGACTTGTTTCCTAGACTCCACGCGTGTACAGTGCAAAAGGTGTGCTGCTAACACTGCCCTCTGTAGGGCCTCTGAGGCAAATGGCTGCGGAAGTGGGGAAGCGCTGCTGCTGTAAACCCGTCTCTCCCGCCTGCGCTGAAATTGTGTACGCAACTATCTTGCCAGAAACAGAAACCAGACCGATCTTCACATGATTCTCAAATTTATCGACTCTGTGCTCGAACACTTCATGCCGTCGGAGGCCTGGGTAGAGACTAGGGCGGGGGTGACGCTCTTCGGTGCACGGCACGGCTCCCGGCGCCTCGGGGCGGCCACGGAAAGGCAGCCACGTACTGCCGATGTTTCGCTGGCCTTCCCTTCGCCACGATCTGACAACCAGCGCCCATACAGTGGAAACCCATGCCAAGAAACACGCTGTTTGTCTCCAGGGTGCCCTAGGTTTCGTGGCTCTCAATGTTCTTGCTTTTAAAAGCCTGACGCTCCAACATCAAAAATCAATTGACGTCCTGGCGTCTCAGGGTTGGGTTTTTTGTTCCCCAATCAGCAGAGCTTGCTTCTGTAGGGGTCCTAGCGGATTCATATGGTTAGGTTAGGTTTGCCGCCGATTTTCGCCGCACGCCCGGGTGCCCGGGTGCCCGGGGGTGCCCAGGTGCCCGGGGGGGGGGCCTGGGGGGCCCGGGTGCCCGGGTGCCTGGGTGCCCGGGTGCCTGGGCGTGCCCGGGGGTGCTCTGTAGCCCTATAGCCCTAAGCCCTATAGCCCTATAGCCCAATAGCTCAATATCCCAATAGCCCTATAGCCCTCCAACTCGTTCGCCCTATAGCCCTATAGCTCAATAGCCCTATAGCCCTACAGCCCCATAGCCCCCTGCCCTATAGCCCCGATTGGGGTTTTTATCCGGTATCATTGACACTTTCTCGTGGTCGAGCTCCTAGTGACCTGTTCGAAGAAGAGCAAGTGCCACAAACATGATCTTTCGGAGGTCCGATCGGATCTGGTGGATCTGCGCTGAATCCCCCTTGCGGCGACTCTTGCGCTGCCCCCGGCGCGGTCCGCGCGCCGGTCGGAGCTCAAAGCCTCCGAACAGGACAAAGCGGAGATACGTGCTCGCGTGAGTGATCAGGGAGGTGGTGGAGATGGAGAAGGCAAACTTCGCAATCGTATTCGGGCTCTGGAGCATCGTGAGAGAATCTGGGTCCCATTCGCTCGTCGGCTAGTTATTCATAATGTTTTGGTGAATAACCCACCCACTTCTACACCTAATGGGAAGTGTAAAGAGTTATGCCGTCATTGGGGGAGGAAATCGAGAGGAAGGAGTGGAATAGGAATGCTGCTGAAGCTTATGCGTCGAGTTTTACCTCACCTGTCAATTTCACCAGTTGCCCGCCGCCGTACCTAAGTACTTTCAAGAATATTGTCCAGAGTGTAGCAGGTTCTGCGCCTGGATGTGATAGGCTATGTTATGCCACTTGGTCTGCCAATCCTTTTGGAGTGGAGCTCCTCCACGACGTGATGCTCGGTATGTTCAAGGGTATTGCGCCTTTCGCCTGCGAGAGCCTCACACTGCAAGCCTTCTTGCCGAAAGGGGAGCAGGAGGGGGATGCACCGACTGGGGAGTGTGATCGGGATGCCAGCTCGGTCAGGGTCCTGGGCCTGCGCAACACGAGCTCCAAGGTGATCACTGCTACGGTGAACAGATCGATTCAGAAACCGCTGGCGGAGTTTGTGCCGCCGTCTCAGCAGTTTTTTTTTTTTTTTTTTTTTTTTTTTTTTTTGTTTCTCTGCGAGGCCGTAACTTTGTTATGAATATCGTAGAGTTGGACGCAGTGGCCAGAGCCTGCTCGAGCAGGCCAGAAGCTGATCATGATTGCCCGATTGTTTTTGCTCTCGACTACGGTGCCGCTTTCCCTAGCTCATCGCAGCAATACCTCATGCTCGTGTTGCGATGGATGGGTTGCCCGCGTGCACTACTATCTTTCGTCGAGCTGCTTTACTCGTCCATTGAGGGGGTGATTTCAAGCAGAGGCTCTCTTTTACACGCATACTGGATCCGATCGGGGATTATTCGAAGATGCTCTCTCAGGTTCGCTTTTCGCTGCTGCTCTCACGCCCTGCCTGCTGGACTTGTTCATGAGTTTTGAGGCCCCTGCAATAAAAAAGGAATTGCCAGTGCGTGTGCGGATCAAACTGGTGGTGCCTTCAAGCAGTTGACGACCTTGAGGACCCTGGCCCGCATCATGAAGTCAAACGAACTTGTTGCGCACCTTCGGCTAAAACCCACTAGGTGTTGCTTGGTACCGGTTGCTGCTAAGCTCTCTGGAAGTACCAGGAAGAGGGTTCACTATTATCTTAACATGTGTGTGCCGCAGTGGAAGGGATTTAAAGTGGATGCGACATCATTATACTTGGGGGTGTGGGCGGGACCTGAGGCTTCGGGAATGGATTAGTGGGCAGCACCCTGTGCCAAATACGAAGAGCGCGCGAGAGCGATAGGTCGTGGCGTGCAAGCCACCTCACAATCGAGCAGACTGTATCAGACGAGGTGCCTCCCTGTCCTCAGCTATGTCATTCAGTATTTTTCGCCGCTCAAGCACGTGATTCACGTTGACCTTACAGCGCTGGCCTCGACGTTTCGCGTGCCCCTGGGCACGTTCAGTGCCGCAGCATGGTTTGCCCTTCGTGAATGGGGATGCCCGAAAGTGTCACCGTTGTCGCTCCTATGTATCGCCGCTGCTGCGAGGATGGATGTGGACACTGTGCCTGAATTGGTGCGTATCTACAGATGGCTGGAGAACTTCTCTGGGTCTGAAGATAATCGTGATCTTTGCAACCTTACTGTACTGCCGCAGGGGAGAAGATACCTGAACCACTGGTCCTCATATGCACACGCTGAATATATGATGTGGTTTTGGAGGGAGAAGAGGGTGTGCTTCATCGCGCCGCTGCTGTCGCTGCTGCCGCTTTCATTATCCAAATCCCACGGCAACAAAATTGCAGAGAGCGGTATGCTCAGCATGCTCAGAGTTATGGCTGAAAGATTGTCTGGAGGTAATATTATTACTAGTTAAACTAGAGGCCAGCTACTGGAGTGGTGGCCTGATCGTGGAGAGGCCAGCTACGGAAAAGGCCAGCTACTGAAGAGATTGCCGCCATCAGTTTCGAGGAGATCAGAATAATCCTGCGACAAGTACATCCGTCGTGGTCTGCGTGGCTGAGGACCTCTGCGGCGGGATGGTTGGCGCCGTATCGTATTCTGAGTGAGAGGGGTAGGGGCTTGTGCAGTTTCGGTTGTGATAATTGGATGATTGATCGCCAGGTACACTACGCCACGTGTCCTAGGTTCGCCTGGTCTGTCTCGCTCGTCCTCAGATTTCGAAGTCTCGCCTCGGACCCACTGGATCGCTGGGGATTTAAGTACCGCGCCGTCCAGGTTGTAGTGTGTGTATATATATGTATGTATATATCCACGCATGCATATCACACTCTTAGACACCTCCCCCTGAGAAGACACATATCCCAGCCACTAATGAGATGGCGGCTTGGGCTGCTCTCAGAGACCTCAGGCTGAATCGGCCTGCAGATGGGGTTCAGGAGGACTCGGTGAATCTGCTCCCCTCTTCTACGCTGTGCTGCTCCTCCTCCTCCTCCTCCTCCTCCTCTCCTCCTCCTCCTCCTCCCTCCTCCTCCTCCTCCTCCTCCTCCTCATCCTCCTCCTCCTCCTCCTCCCTCCTCCTCCTCCTCCTCCTCCTCCTCCTCCTCCTCCTCCTCCCTCCTCCTCCTCCTCCTCCTCCTCTCCTCCTCCTCCTCCTCCTCCTCCTCCTCCTCCTCCTCCTCCTCCTCCTCCTCCTCCTCCTCCTCCTCCTCCTCCTCCTCCCCCCCCGTTCTGCAGCAGCAGGTGCGCCAGGTAAGAACAGGAGCCAGCCCCGGCCTGCCAGCAGGTGCCCCGCGGACCTTTCCTCCTGTTTTCAGTGGTCTGCGGGCTCACAGAAGCACTGGGGGCACCTCGGGGGGCCCAAATCTCGACGACGAATGTGTCCCAAGATTTCTTGCAGAACGAACTCTTAACGTCGGTGTCAAATGCTTGGAGGCACTTCGAAACGCTCCACGCTCTGAGGGCTCCCTCCGCTGCGCGCGTCCTCTCCCCCCTTTCCCGCCGTTCGTCCACTCGGCCTTCCCATTTCCTGCCCGCGTCTTCTGCTTCGTTGCGCACCCGCACTGCCCTGCCGCTGCTGGGATCCAAGTGGCCGCCAACAGAAAGCAATTGTGCCTGCGGTGTGCCCTCTCCTCTTGCGACCGCTCCCCCGCGCGCGCGGCTGGTGGTCGGCAGCCCCTGCCAGGTGCAGCAGCCCGCTGGGGTGGCGACCTTCGCCCCCGGCGCTCGGGAACAGTGTTCGCCCGCGGTGCCGACCCGGCCGGGCGAACAGGGCAGACCTGCTCTCATGCTGCATGCTTCTAGTCCTCCCAAAAGTGGGGTCGGAGATGCATCGCCGATGCGATTCGATGAGTAGCCCGATTTTCTCCACGCCGACGGCGCCGATGCATTGCCGACGTCGCTGGTGCATCCTCCAACCCCATCTACTCCGACCCCATCTAGGAGGCCTCTTTTGCTGAGCCCCGAGTTTGGTGTCTGGCCATGGGAGTCTTGGGCGGCGACGTTGGAGCCAGTTTTTCGTGCATGCGGGCCGCGCTTGGCCCGCATCTGGCCCTTCCTCCTGCTCCTCCGCGCCCTTCCTGTTCCTCCTCCCACTCCTCGTTTTTCTTGTCTCCTGCGAAGGGGCAAATTCCGTCCAAATCTGGTCCGACTCTGGGAGTCCCAAGTTGTGTTCCAACTCCGATCCAAATCAGGCCCAACTCGGACAGTGCTGGGGGCCACGTAGGCTCCCATGGAGCAGTCACCAAACCTGAGATCTGACGTTGCAAGAGACGCTGCAACACTGCAGCACGACACGACCAGAGCCCTGTTCACCCCATCTGTCTGCGCCTTGTCTCGAGCCGTCATGGCCCTGGGGCCCATCACCAGGCAGAACCGTCTGGTGCCGAGGCAGCTGGCGCTCCAATTTTTTCGATGCGTGGGCCCTCCGAGGTCAAGACGATTTCCCCCGTGCCGTTCTTCGTCCCGAGTCGTTTTCTGACGGTCCCGGGGCCCGTTGATGGCCCTTGCAGTCCAAAACCGGCATAAAGGATGGCCGCTCCAATTTTTTATCGGGTGCGAAAAGATCGCGACGCCGGGCTCTCCAGGAAGCCCCGCGCACGGTGGGGGAAGTCTTCGGGCGGGTGCAGGACAGGGGTAAATCTCTCCAGGGAGTTCCCGAAAGATCTGGAAGTCTCCGAGATGGCCGCGGCGCCCGATACAGCCTCCCAAATCGCCAGATATCATATATCCGCGGTTCTCGGCTCATCCCTGTCCGCTTTTGTCCCTATTCGTCTCATCCCTGTCCGTCTTATCACAGGGAACCCCGTGCGCGGGGGATGATGATGCTGCTGCTGCTGATGATGATGATGATGGTAATGCTGATGCTGATGCTGATGCTGATGATGATGCTGATGATGATGATGCTGATGATGATGATGATGATGATGCTGATGATGATGATGATGATGATGATGATGATGATGATGATGAGAAGGAGGAGGAGGAGGAGGAGGAGGAGGAGGAGGAGGAGGGGGAGGAGGAGGAAGAGGAGGAGGAGGAGAAGGAGGAAAGGAGGAGGAGGAGGAGGAGCAGGAGCAGGAGGAAGAGAAGGGACGAGTTTGAATCCCCGCCGGGAGGGAGGGGGAACAGAAGGAGACTGTAAGGGCTGACTCGACGAGGGAGTGTTGGGGTGATGCATCAAAATGAATGTGCCTCCCCAGTTTGGCAACCCCCGGCTTGGCAAGCGCCTACTAGTCGTGACCGCAACATGTCTCAGCTTCTTGGATGTTCTTGGTAGCAAGTGGCACGACAAGATGCATTCATGGTCCCGCTGGACCTCGTCGAATGGTCCTCGTCCTCCTCCTCCTCCGTCTTCCCCGTCCGTAGCCATGTTGGTTCAAGCCAGTTTTTCTCAGGCCGGCCTGAGCTCCCCGCTATGTTTTGTGCCTGCGATGTTTGCTTGAGTTGTTATTTCCTTCCATCTGGTTGCTTGAACGGCTACGAGGTCCACGAGTAAGATACATAATATGTTGGCTGCGCGCATTCGCCTGCTGGAGAAGCAGACGTATCCTGATCTGGATTCCTCTCCAACCTTCATGCCATTAGTCGACACGCGTTCTTTTTGTAAGGTTTTGCAACACACCCTTCTGATGCAGCGACGTTGGCCAGACCGAGCGGTTGACGATCAAGTTCACGATTCATCTCGTCACCTCTTTCGGAGAGCTGGTCGGGAGCGCCACGTCGTCTTCGCCCAAGAGGCCAGCGCCTTTCAGGATTCAGCTGAAGTGCTTTGTGCAAGACGCTGCAACGCATTCGTCTCCGTTCTGATGCCCTTGAGTTTCGCCCAACTGCCTGCGACGGGCTGCCCGACAGTGCCATGGCCGCATACCGCTCGGAGCTCATTGGGCATACGAGGTCTGGGAGTGGTTCAGAGATGACTGCCATCGCAGCATACCGCTCGGAGCCTGCTGGGCATACGAGGTCTTGGAGTGGCAAAGGGATGGCAGGGAGCACAATCGATCATGGCTGTGTTCCTCACTCTGAGGTTTTTCGCGAGCAGGTCTGGATGAATGATGTTTGCGCCGGTTGGAGTGCCATCGCCGTATACCGCTCCAAGCCCTTGGGACATACGAGGTCTGGGGGTGGCTGTGAGATGGCAGTGCTTGCGTCCCGCGGATTTTTGAGTGTGACTGTTGCGATTTCGATCATGTGATTTCTTTCGGTCTCTGGCCATCTGTGCCGAGTGCTGGGTTAGATTTGGTTTCTTGTTCCGGCTTGTGGGCAGCTCTTTCTGAGCTGCAGTGCATGGCGAGCCGTGTTCATGTGTTGGCGTCTTCTGCGGTTGCCCAGGTTGCCCCTTGCTCCGATTTGGTGCGCGTGATTGAGCAAACGAGTGAATGGAAATTGCTATGATTGCATCGCTTCCTGGTATTTCGGTTGCTGATAACTTATCGTCCCGATATCAATGGGCGGCACGATGTGTCAGAGCAAGCCTTCGTTGACCACCTTCAAGGTACTCTTCTTACGCCCTCGTCCCTGAAGCAGGCGCACTCTGAGTTCGCTGCCTTTTTGGTGCTTGGTGCCGACGATCCCGCACGAAGGCTTGGTGCATGCGAAAATTGACGCTATGCGGGAAATCATGCGTGTGCGTTGTGATAAAGTTCGCGGCGAGTTGCAATCCACTCTGGCGCTGTGCCAGGCGCACCTACACGTCCTTGCCCATCAAAAATTGCCAGTGCTGCATCATAGAATTACTGCTATTCACGAGGACGGCCTGTCGCCAGATCGCGTGCGACGACAGGTCCAGCGTCCGCTGTCGGGTTTCTGGGATGATTGTCAAAAGCTAATGGATGCGCATGTAGCGAAGGCGAATGATTTCATGTCCGACGTCCGCGAGCAGGTCGTCTTAGAATTCCACGCCCTGTTTCACAAGATGTCTGCCGATGTGGCTGTGTTGAGGGACTTTGCGGAGCTGGTGCAACGATAGCGGAGTACAGTCTGTGATGCGTCTGATTTGTAAGAACAGGTCGCTACTCATGAAGCGGCTCTTCAACCGTTGTCTGAGTTGTCTGGGAAAAGGTGGTTGCACGACATCCGAAAGTAATTACGGATGCTGTCGGCTTGGCCTTCAAGCAGCTTTTGAAAGCTGACATCATCGGAATGGCCGCGCGTGCTGAGCTGCTGCGGAGCCCGGCTCGCGATGTGCCCGGTCCTCGTAATATCAAAAAGGGTGGTCATCTTCAAGCTGCGTCTTCTCCCTCGTCGCAGGCTGCTTCGGTTGCTGATGGTGAAAAGCTCAGTGATGTATGCGGCGGATGGTCTGACGTGCGTCTGCATGCTGATTGAGGTAACGATCTGGACGTTGTGATTTGCTTCCTGGTTCTGTCGTTGTTCACCGGGGGCTTGGTGCTCTTCTTTGTCCTGCATTGGGTAATCCTTGTCCTCTGCGCTCCTAGCCGCGTTCCAGGTATTCCGGCCATTTGCGTGGCTTCCGCCTTCCGCGGTTTCGGTTCGGGCTCTTGTCGAGAGCGGCCGACTCGAATATATTTAGCCAGACAGGACGTTTCTTCTACGCTGGGCTCCTCCCTCTTTTTTGGCACTGGGGTCCATGGGACCTTTGCCACCTGTCGTAGGTGAGAGAAAGAGAAAGAGAACGCGAAAGAAAGAGCTAACAAAGAAGAGCAGACATA